TGACATAAACTATTTAATGTATATTTGTATACTTGTTTAAAAATGATATTGGTATTTTATTTGATTTAAAATTATTTTTTATATTAATTTTTGGTGTCAAATAAAATACACTTTGAACATTTAAGTGGAGAAGAATTTTACAAATCCTTCTCACATGATTTTTCGGCCAAATGACATCTTAAAGGAATCAAATTTTGTTTGATTGATTTTTGAGTGGAGCTAATTATTCTAACATTTAGCTTAATGACAAAGTATGATTAGTCATTTTGTAATCATTTTTTTTTAATATAGCACGGCACTTTGAAATAAAAAGAGGGTGAAGATTATCATTTTGATTGTGTGTGTCATTCGGCCATATTTTTTAGAGAGAAGAAATGTTATTTTAAGTGTTCCATTAATATCATTTTGTGTATAGAAAATATCTATAATATTTTCTAAATATTATTAGAAATATTTTCTATAGAAATATACAAGATTATTATTATCCCAAATTTTAATCTTTATATTTTATACTACTATAATCTTTACTAGCATAAAGATTGTGGTAGACTCCGGCGTTGTTCGTGTGTCAAAGTTGGAGACCGGACGCTTGAACGGTTACGTTTGCACTTTCAACGCTCTTTCTACGACTCCTTCGTTTTTACCGCTTACAGAGAAAGGTATAAATTTCCTACTCACTATAAGTTTTAGTACGTGATTCTGGGCAAGATAATCATGTTAGGATGTTAAAATTTTTATTTTCGCTGCCTATCCTTGCATGGTTACCTTTCAGATGAAAGGTGATGATGAAGACTTGATGAAGAAATAATAGTGTGGGGTTACAAAATGGAATGTGATGAGGATGGGGAGTGATGGAGTTTTAATGGTGGATTATGGGGCCATTGAATGGAAAATAATGGTGATGTTGAGGGGGCCGAACCAAAGGGGTGTAACGCCCCAAAACATACCCTAGAATTATTAATAGATAATTATTTGTTTTGATTAAAATAAATTGTTGTGGGCTTTGGGCCGATAAAAATATGTTTTGATATCCAATATCACAATCAGGATAAATCTCAAAGAGATAAATTCAATTTATTGACTATTTGTGTGGTCTTGATTGGGAACCTGAGTACAGACCCAAATCAAGAATAAATGAAGAAGTTATTTATGATATGAACTTTAAAATGATTTAGTGAAATCAATCATGAGAACCTTTTTAATAAAGGTCCAATAAACCAATTTTGACTCTGTCAAAGTCAAACACCCAAAAGTATGATGTTATAAAAAGTATCACAAATAATTATTAAAAGTATATCGTTGAATAGAGTTCGACTGTCTGATTGCAATTGTACATGTTAGAATAGTAGACCAACGCTAGAGGGGGGGTGAATAGCGTTTGATCAAGAAATCGCAGGAATTAAAAATAAATGAAAGAGAAGTAAAGAGAAGAGTAAGAGGCACACCGAATTTACCCTGGTTCACCACAACTTGTGGCTAATCCAGCCTCCCGAGAGACTCTCTCGAGCTACACTACTATCTCGTTAAGCTTAACGGTGCTTAACAAACCCGTACAACTTGAGAGTTCGAGTCACACGAACCTCAAAGAACCTTCGAAGGAAACAACCCTTTCTTCAAACAACAAGAGAAATATTTTCTCTTGTCAAGTGTCTAAGAACACTAAAAACACTCAAGAACAATACTCTCTTTTAGAGTGGATAATGAGTAACTAAGAGCGCTCAAGAACACAACACAAGCTTCACAAAAATGGCTCTCAAAAAGCTATGAATAAAGGATGAATGATTTGCAATGAAAGAGTAGGAGTTGTGAAGTAATGTCATGTGTAAAACAGACCCAAACACCCCATTTTATAGTGGAAAAATAGGCTCCAACGGATCAAAAAATTTAAGGGGTGATTGGCACAATTTGTGGGATTTAATTAAAATTGGATCTGCTGAAATTCACCCAGACAGAGCTGTCCATGGCTTCGACATCGCTGTTCTAGGTTTGGTTTTTAAAAATTGGGAAGCAACGGTCATGCCAACAGCGATGTCCAAAACCCCTACATCGCTGTTTTGGCTGTTGACTTCCAAACAATGAAAGTTTTAGCCTTAAATTCCTTCCAACAGTTAGGTCCCTACATCGATGTTCATTACTTGAACATCGCTGTTTGGGTCTGACTTTGAAAGGGAAGGAGTTGGCCTGATAGCGCTGTTGCTAGGTCAACATCGCTGATCAAAATTTTTCTGCCAAAGGCATTTCTTTTTGGCTTAGGTTAGACAGCGATGTATGGAAGGCTACATCGCTGTTCGAGATCATTCTCGAAACCCAACCTTGGCTCAACAGCGATGTCTAACAACCAACATCGCTGTTGGAAGACTCAACGCGAAACCATGGTTTTCAGCTTCCCATGCCAGACAGCGCTGTTAATTACACCAACATCGCTGTTGGGCTGGTTTAGCCAGACCCATGGTTGGTTGAGTCAGCCGTTAGCCGATGTCAAAAATGTAAGTTCTCCAAAATGAAAACCAAGTGTTTAAAACATTTGTTTAATGCATTATGCTAAGAAATCAAGTAAAAGAACTTGAAAACCACGTCATTTAGTTGAAAACCACGGCTAGCCAAGTTTGCGTCGTTTCGCATGGTTTTCACTAAACGACCAAAAATGAAAGGTGGTTTTTGAAGCGTTTTTTTTGGAGAACTATTTAAATATGCCCAGAAGTAAAATCCAATCATTAAAAGTTGAAAACCACTTGGTTGGTTCGGACGCCAAAAACCAACGCCGATAACCGAAAGCCGAACGCCGGTTTCCGAAACCCGAACGCCGGATGGCTTGGTTTTTGGTTTGGGCGAACTCCAAGTGTTTTTAGGCATTTTTAAAACTTAAGAAAAACATTTTTGAATATGCAAAAAAGTATTTTGATGAAATGAGCCTAGAGAGCCAAGGTTTGAAAGTTTGTGCCGGTCTTGATCTCATTAAGACCGACTCAATACAATTCTAAGTCTTCGTTCTTGATTCTTGGTTCTTGTTTCTCAAAACATCATGCCATGTTCCTTCGCCTTTGATTTGCTCAGTTTAGTGTTTGTTGTCACGGCAGTTTGGCATTATCAAAACCTGTCATAAAACGAACACGGTTTAGTACGACGTAGCCGTAAACCCGTGTTCCAACAATTTCCCCCTTTTTGATAATAGCAAACAAGACGGGTATATGCATACTAAGGGATATTTGATTTTCAAAAAGTTGTGAAAAGGTTCCCCCTTCATTTGTGCTTAAAAGCAAGTAGTCGGATTTAAAAATCAAACGGTCTCGTTTTTAGAGACGTTCCCCCTTAGTATATGCATAGCCCTTTTCTTCCCCCTTTTGACATTAACAAAAAGATAAAAGATAACTTTTATTGATTGAAATGGGAAATAACGGAGTACAACGGAAGCAATAATAAAAAACTAGATAATTGAAAGAAGAAGAGATAGAAATTCTAGGTGCGGCCTAGTCTTCGTCTTCGGTTTCCTCCTCATCGTCGACGTCCATCTCATCACCGTCAACGGCGTCATCGAACTCATCCTCGTCCAGGGAGCTTGACGGGGTGTAGAAGCCATCCTCTTCGTCCTCGTCACCGTACACTTGCCCAAGGAATGTGCCTTGGTACGGTGGGGGGACGTAGTTGACGCGTTGGAAGTACGCGTTCAGGGCGTGCCCTTGGCGTTGAACAGCCTCTTCGAGCCGCTCAAGGTACCCGTCCATCCCGTCGACTTTGAAGTGTAGCCGGTTGAGGGAGTCGGCGATGGAAGCTAGGTTTGCCTGGGCCTGGGGTTCGGCTGGGCTAGTGGCAGTGCGGCGTGGCGCGGCAGTTGCAGGCGCGGCGTTGTCCGACCGCTTTGTGAAGGTTTGGGCGCTGATCGTCCAAAGCTTCGTGGCCTTCGTGAGCGGGCCAACGGTGGTGGTGACCTTGAACCGTTCGAGGATGTCCATCACCAAGAACGGGTACGGGAGGAGGTGATCGTGGTCGGTGGACACGGCGACCGTCATGTTGATCATGACAAACTTCGCCCAGTTGATTGGCGTCGTGTGCATGATCGCATGTAGAAGCTTGAGGTCCTCACCGGACATGATCGTGTGCCCGTGTTTCCGGGGCTTGATGATCCGGGACACGATGTAGAGGAGTAAACGGCTCTCGGGGTTCGTGGAGTGGATGGTGGGGCGGCCCGAGGCATGGTGGATGAACTCGGTGATGCCAAGCTCATTGAGGATAAGGCCCTCGTTGTTGAGCACCTAGTCCTCTTTGCCATAGTGAGAGACGTCGTCACCTTGGTTAGGGAGGCTGGCGATGCGCCCAAGCTGCTCGACGGAAAGCTCAATCGACGTGCTCTTGACAAGGGAGTAGAGCACGTCGTCCTCACGCCGGAGGTTGGAGTAGAAGACCCGAATTAGTGCCGGGTTGATCTCCTTCCGAGCCCGGGAGACGAACTGCCATAGGCCGGTTTGGTGAAGCTGCGCGTCTAGATCGTCGTAGCCCTGCAACTCCGAGAAGTGCTCTAGGACAATCCGTGGGGGAGTCACGACCCGCTTGGAGAAGAAAGTGAGAAAGCAGGTGCGCTCCTCCTCGGAATCGAACCAGAGGTATGATCCCTCGCCATAGTAGAGACATTCCTCGGAGGACGTCGCTGGAGCCCGGGATTTGGACTTTGATTTCCCGGAGGTGGCAGCCCTGCTCTTGTCTTTGCCCATGGTGAAGAAATCTCAAGAGAAAAAAGTAGAGAAGATAAAATACGCAAGGAGATTGAAGAGATTTGTGTTTGTGTGTGTAAAAGTGAAGAGAGGAGACCAAAATATATAGGGAGAGGGGTTCCCAACGTTCAACAATTTGAATAAATTGCTGTTGGAGCGTTAAAAGCAGTGCCCAACGGGTATTTTTTTGAAAAAACTAGTTTGAACAGCGATGTCCCAAATGCTACATCGCTGTCGGGACAGCACTGTTGCGCCTCTGGACAGCGATGTTTTGCATCAAGTTTTAAAAACAAGTGTCAAATGGACAACGATGTTGGGTATCCTATAACGATGGTCCCAAAGTTTCTGGAAATGTGTAAGGGTTTGCACCCATTAGAACAGCGCTGTTGGGTTTCCCTACATCGTTGTTTTACGATAGAAAAAAAAATTGTAAAAATGGACAGCGATGTTGAATAGAAGGACATCGCTGTTTGAAAAGTTTCTGGTTTTGGTTGAAAACAAGGTGTTTTGGGTAGACAACGATGTTTTGAAAAGAGACATCGATGTTTAAAAAGTTTCTGGAAAGCAAAGGTAAAGGGAACTCCCTGGGACAGCGTTGTTGGTGTATTGTACAGTGCCGTTCGCTCAAGCTGGTTGACGGTGTTTCCTTCAACAGCGCTGTTGGGTCTCCTGGACAGCGCTGTAGGCATGGTTCCCCCTGATTTTATGAACGGGGTACCTGCAAAAAAGAAAAAGTTCTCTGACGCTCAAGTTAGTAAACGTTTAACAAGTTAAAAATGCACAACTTAGATCATCATGGAGTCAAAGATTCCGAGTTCACTTCGAATGCGGAAGAACGACTCTTTCTCTAAAGGTTTTGTGAAAATGTTGGCCAATTGGTTGTGTGTTTCAACAAACTCAATTTCGACATCACCTTTGAGAACATGATCTCTAATGAAATGATGCCTAAGGTCAATGTGTTTCGTCCTTGAATGAAGAACGGGGTTCTTTGTCAAGCTTATGGCGCAAGTATTATCACAACAAAGAGGAACGTGATTGATACTAAGACCATAGTCCACGAGTTGTTGCTTCATCCAAAGGATTTGAGCACAACAACTACCGGCGGCTACATATTCCGCTTTGGTTGTGGATAACGCAACACTGACTTGTTTCTTACTAAACCATGAGACTAGAGAGCTACCAAGTAAGTGGCAAGTCCCCCTCGTACTTTTACGGTCCAATTTGCAAACGGAAAAGTCCGAGTCAGAGTAACCAACGAGATGACATGAAGAGCCTTTTGGATACCACAGTCCAACGTTAATCGTGCCGACAAGGTATTTCATGATCCGTTTCACTGCTGTTAAGTGCGATTCCTTCGGACACGATTGATACCTTGCGCAAAGGCATACGCTAAACATGATATCCGGCCTACTAGCGGTAAGATAGAGAAGGGATCCAATCATACCTCGATACCTTTTTACTTCTACTTCCTTACCTTTCTCATCTCTGTCTAGATGGTCAGACGTGCTCATCGGGGTCGCCGTGGCTTTTGCGTTGTCCATTTCAAACCGCTTTAGGAGCTCCATGCAATATTTAGCTTGGCAAATGAACGTGCCATCTTTCATTTGCTTGACTTGGAGTCCTAAAAAGAATGTGAGCTCGCCCATCATTGACATTTCGAATTCACTTGTCATTAACATTGAGAATTCCTTGCACAATGACTCGTTAGTAGCACCGAATATAATATCGTCTACATAAACTTGAACCAAAAGGATGTTATTGTTTTTACTCTTGATAAAAAGTGTGGTGTCAACCTTTCCCCTTTGGAAGCCACTATCCAAAATAAATTTACTCAAACGTTCGTACCAAGCACGGGGTGCTTGTTTAAGACCGTAGAGCGCTTTCTTGAGTTTGAAGACATGGTCGGGAAACTCAAAGTCTTCAAAGCCGGGGGGCTGGTCAACATACACTTCCTCTTGAATAAAACCATTGACGAAGGCACTCTTAACATCCATTTGATAAAGTTTAAAGTCCATACACGAAGCAAAAGCAAGAAGTAAATGAATAGCTTCTAAACGTGCTACGGGTGCATAAGTTTCTTCGAAATCAATGCCTTCTTCTTGATTGTAGCCTTTAGCTACGAGCCTAGCTTGGTTTCTAGTGATTATTCCATTTTCATCAAGTTTGTTACAGAACACCCATTTTGTACCAATAATTGTACGATCATCGGGCTTTAGCACCAATTCCCAAACGTCATTTCGTTTGAATTGGTTTAGCTCCTCTTGCATAGCCAAGGTCCAATGTTCATCGTTTATTGCTTCGGAAACGGTTGTAGGTTCAATTTGAGAAACAAAAGTCATGTGTCCTACGGTGTCCCTAAGTGAGTTACGAGTACTTACCCCGCGGTTGATGCTGCCGATTACCTGGTCAGGTGGATGGTTCTTGTTCGTTCTCCAAGAGATGGGAAGCTCGGTGTCCTCTTGTTCCTGGGCTTCCTCGTGTTCTTCTTCGTCCGCTTGATCCTCATTTTCGACCATCACTTGAGGTGTTTCCTCAGGTTGTGGTTGCGAGTTGGTGTATAATGGCGTGTCTTCCTCATCATCTTCAACGTGTATTCTTTCAAGTGAATCTGCAAGATCATCACAATAAAGTGCATTTATTAAACACTCTATAGGCCTTGCTACGAAGTGAGTAACCCAGAAAAATTCCTTCATCCGACTTGGCATCAAATTTGCCCAAGTTATCTTTGCCATTGTTATGAATAAAACATTTGCAACCAAAGACTCTAAGATGGGAAAGGTTTGGCTTTCTCCCTTTGTATAATTCATAAGGCGTTTTCATGAGTATCGGTCGAATGACGGCTCAGTTTAACACGTAGATCGCGGTACTCACGGCATCCGCCCAAAAATACTTAGGGATTTTTGCCTCATTGATCATAGTTCTAGCCATCTCTTCGAGACACCTATTTTTGCGTTCCACCACTCAATTTTGTTGTGGTGTACGTGGGGCTGAGAAGTTATGATCAATGCCAAGTTTGTCACACAAATCTGAAAATAGATTTCGTTCGAATTCTCCCCCCATGGTCGCTTCTAATGGCTACTATGGTTGTTTCTTTTTCATTTTGAACTTTCTTTAGAAAATTTTTTAAAACATGAAATGCCTCACTTTTGTGAGTTAGAAACAAGGTCCATGTAAACCTAGAGTAGTCATCGACAATCACAAACGCAAAGTAATTACCACCAAAACTTTTCGTTCTAGAAGGGCCAAAGAGATCCATGTGCAAAAGTTGAAGCGGTCTAGACGCTGAAACAACGTTCTTAGACTTAAACGAAGCCCGAACTTGCTTTCCCGTTTGACATGCATCACATATGGTGTCTTTTTCAAACTTAAGTTTTGGAATGCCAATTACTAAGTCTTGTGAAAGCAATTTGTTCAAAAGGTTCATGTTCATATGAGCTACCCTTCGATGCCATAACCAAGTGTCTTCCTCTTTACTCATGAGGCACTTAGCAAAGCCGGAAGGTGATCTGTCTAAGTTAACCATGTAAATGTTATTGATTCTATCTCCACGTAGAATGACCTTATTGTCACTAAGGCGTTCTACCGTGCATGATTTTGAATCGAAGGTCACACGATTCCCCTTGTCACATAATTGACTTATGCTCAAGAGATTGTGTTTAAGACCTTTAACTAGCAAGACATTATCTAGAGAGGAGTTTTCAGATTTACCTACTGAACCAATGCTGATAATCTTTCCATTGCTATTGTCTCCAAAAATTACGTTTCCTCCTTTAGCAGGTTTAATTTGGAGAAACTTGGATGCATCCCTGGCCATGTGCTTGGAGCATCCGCTATCAAGGTACCAAAGTACACTTGATGCCTTCAAGCACACCTATGAAACACATCAATGAGTTTTAGGTACCCAATTTACGTTGGGTCCTCGTGTGTTAGGTGTGTGATGGTAGTGTGCTTGATTTTGTGATAGGTGCCTATGCCTAGTATAACAAACGGGTGCAATATGACCTATCCTATTACAATAATGACAAACTACGTTGGGATTGTACATGTGCCTAGGTTCGTAATAGTTAGAGGGTTTAACCATTTTGTTCCTATTTTGTGAAAAAGATGGTCTTTGAATGTTTTGAAATTGACCTCTTCTAGGTGCTCTAACATTATTTCTTCTATCTTGAGAAAAGTCGGTTTTATGCACAAAATCATTTTTCTTAGGTTGTCTACCATGAATATTTTCATTCCTAGGTTTTAGTCTAGGTTGTCTAGTGTCCTTAGGATGACTAGGTTTTCTATTATCCTGGTTTTTAGGTTTCTTACGTTGAACCTTAGATGGTTGTCTAGGTGGTGGCTCAACGTTTTCTTTAACCTTAGCTTCATTTTTATTAAAACCTATTCCTTCCTTAGAAAAATGCATAGTGTCAAGGAGCAAGTTTAATTCTTTGTGCGGAGTATTAAATTTCTTGTTAGAATAAAAGACCAACGCTAGAGGGGGGGTGAATAGCGTTTGATCGGAGAAGTCGCAGGAATTAAAAATTTAAAAGAGAAGTAAAGAGAAGAGTAAGAGGCACACCGAATTTTACCCCGGTTCACCACAACTTGTGGCTAATCCAGCCTCCCGAGAGACTCTCTCGAGCTACACTACTAACTCGTTAAGCTTACGGGTGCTTAACACACTAACCTCAACGAATCCTTCAAAGGAAACACACCTTCCTTTGAATCAACCGAGAGTGATACTATCTCTCAACGTGTCTAAGAACACAAGAACACTCAAGAACGAGACTCTCTTATAGAGTAGATTATGAGTAAACTAAGTACGCTCAAGAACAACTCAACCTTCACACAAGTGGCTCTAGAAAGCTATGGAAAATTATGATATTTGAGTGCAATGAAAGTATAGATGTTGTGAAGTCAATTGGTGAGAAAAGCAGACCCAAACACCTCTCTTTATAGTGCAAAATTAGGCTCCAACGGACCAATGCATTAAAGGAGTGATTAGCTTGATTTATGGGATTGAAAAGATTTGGGATCTGCAGAATATTGGCTTCCCATCGATGTTTGGGACTTACCCATCGCTGGTAAGCCAATTTTCCTTCAGTTTTGAAGTCAACGGTCACCTACCCATCGATGGGTACAAGCTTCCCATCGCTGGGTGGGAGGTTGACTTCCAAACAAGGAAAGAATCAACCTTTAATGACCACCAACGGTCATGCCTTCCCATCGATGGTATACCCTTACCATCGCTGGGTTCCCATCGATGGGATAGACTTCCCATCGCTGGGCAAGGTCGTTCTGCCTTGTGGTAATTTTGCACCAAGGCTCTAACAGCGATGGGTGGAACTCCCCATCGCTGTTTGGCATGGTTCTGGAAACTGGTTTGGCTGAGGAGCCGCTTACCCATCGATGGGAAGATCTTCCCATCGCTGGGTGAGTGGTTAGT